TGTGCTCCTGCCCGATTTTGAAGGGAAGGTGTATTTTGGTGTGTACAAAGAGAGAGCTTCAGCTTCCTTTTGCCTAGTTATCAGCAGGCTCTTGCTATTTTCCCCAGACCAGCTTCCCTAGTTTCTTTGCAAAGTGTATCTGTCTGCAGGGAGGTACTTTCCAGCTGGAAAGCATTTCTTTATACGTGTAGTACATACTTGGGCTGCTGCTCCTTTTCCTTCCAGCCCCCCAGGCAAACACTCACTAAAGGCCATGCCTACTGACTGTTTAAAAAGTAATACGGACCCATATCTGGGGTGAGTTTCTGCCTCCAGAGAGCCACAACGCTTTAGGGGTCTGGTGACAAAGTCCAAAGAAATAAGATGACCAAACTTGCAATAAAGGTCAAACAACTCCTGCCCAGCATTTATGCTGGGGTTCCAGGCTGTCCCCAGTCATCTGAAGGTACCACCCAATTAACACATGAGCGACTAACAACAGCTCCAGCTCTCTTGCCCTCAGAGAAGGAGCCTGTTTATTATCCAACCCCCATTCCCAGTATGCCCCATACACATTCCAGCAGCCCTTCTTAGGACCACTCAGCCAAGACCTGCCTCCAGATGGCTGAGAGAGAAGGGAGCTTTGCTGCACCTACACTTCAAGACTCTGGTCCCACACAGACAGATAGTCTTGGACCACAAACTGCCACCTGGGACTACCTCCTCTCTATTAATGGCTGCTTCATTTCCAGGGTGTGTCTGTAATAAACCTCCTGGAATGGATAGCACAGCCCCAGATAACTCCTTCCTCAGTCTTAAAGGGTCAGTACATCACATTATACCCATCCTAGTTTAGTTTGTCATGTTGCTATATCACAGCACGTTCTTCTGGCTCACAATTTTCAGGACACTTTGTTAGTCTTGCAAGACTAGCTTTTTAACTGGGGTTAATCTGCAAAAGATGAGATGGACGGCAATCCTATAATCCAGCTGTTTGTATCAACGGAAGAGGCAGAGCAAGACTCAAGTCTAGAGATGGAATTGCCCATGAATTCAAAGGTACAGTTGCTTTAAGTTATGCATTTGAACTTGTATTTCTTTAAATGGCCAGTAAAATCAAAACAGTGATCTGACAGCACAGACTCTCTCCACTGCACATAATTCTAAGTAAACTTCTCCCTGGAAATAATTGTTTTGGCTTTTTACAGGCACCGTGCTTCACTGAACTGTCTGCATACACTTTTCAGCCATCACAATTTGTTTAATCTGTTCTATGAGCCATACGAGATAGAGACAAAGCTGTTATAGTTCACTAGTCTGTATGAAGGGCAACTGAAATTTCTATTAGCTAGAAAAACCCAAGCAAAGCATTACGATGCTTAACAGGAAACCCTCTACATGAACTTGAGGCAGGATGTAAAATACAAATTAGACATTCTCTCATAAAGTAACCACTCATTAAAAGGTCCACATTTCTTAACAAGCCAGTGCAAATTACCAGGTACACATAGCTTTCATTTTTAGCGCAATCCAGTTTCTGTTGCAATTTAAGTTTGATTCATTCACAGAAAAGGCATAGCCACAATTTTAGTGCAAAATGATAAGTCAGTCATTCTTCTGTGGCTCTGCTGATCTGTGGCTCTCTGCTCCCTAGTGCTAATGCTGCATGCTGATTTGTTGGTTTCATTTCATTCTTCACATTTCTCTCTGATTTAGGGTCAGGAGTTTCTTTGATATCCTTAAGTTTATATTACAAAATTAAATCTGTGGGCACATTTGACCACTTCAAACAGGAGGGGCATTTTTTTTTAACTCTTCATGTACTTAAGTCCTTCAGAAGGGGTTTTCCCACAAATCCTTACCAGCTTAACTTTCTGCTGTGATTATGAGCCTCAATATGCTGTAACAAAGATGCAGCTTAAACACTATTGTGCTCCATTAGTAGCCTTAACATTGCTTCAAAACCAAGGGAAATGATGTCACGTGTAAGGCTATATCTACATTACAAGCGCTACAGTGGCACAGCTGTAGCAACACTGCTGTAGCACTGCAGTACAGACACTTGCTTCAGTGACAAAAGGGGTTTTTCTGTCACTGTAGTAAATCCAACCTCTTGAGAGGTAGCTAGGTCGACAGACAAATTCTTCCGTTGACCTAGTGATGTCTAAACTGGGGCTTAGATCAGCTTAACAACATCTCTCAGGGGCATGAAAAATTCCTGAACTATGTAGCTAGGTCACCCTAAGATTTAGATGTAGATGTAGATGAGGCCTAAGTCTGAATCAGAGACCTTACTTCAGTGTGACTTTGCAATTTCTCACTGTAAGTTATACAGTCATTCTAAAAATGTGAATCTGCCCCTGCCCCATCCTCCTCCATCCCTTGGCGTCCCCCCACCCCTTTTTCTAAATATCTGTCTATGGTACTTACATGCCCCCGCCCCCAACCCCCTCACACATTACTGAAGCATCTGAGCACCTCACATTCTTTCAATGTAGTTCTCTTCAGCACCCCATGAGGTAGTAACATAGTATTTATCCACATTGAGCACTGTGGCACAAGACAGACTGATTTGCCGAAAGTCACCCAGGAAATCTGTAGTGGAGCAGGAAATTGAACGCAGGTCTCCCAAGTCCCAGGCTAACCACTACACCAGTGAGTCCTGAACTTTTTCATGCCGTGACCTCCTTTGCGCTCATATCTGTTAACGCAACTCCCCGGTACTTAGTATTCAGGCTGGCTTTCTGCAAACAAAACACTCCATCTTACACAGTCTACTTGGAAAACTACGGGTGGGTAGCCAGGCCCAGATTAACCACTGTGAGCTTGGTGCACTTACTTGCACAGGGGCACCAACTACCAGACTAAACAAAAAGGAGAGGCAATTGAAGGCCCCGGGGCCACATTCAACCTGCCAGATCATTTTATTTGGTCCTCCACCCCGCATGCTGGAATGGGGGGGAATCCCCACCTTTCCCGATCTCACTGCATTGGTAATGCATCCACCACATGGAGCTTGGGACCTTCTGCTGGCCATAGAAGGCATGATGCTGCTGCAAGAGCACAATATTGCTCCGGGAGCAGATGGTGTTGCCCAGCTGTCTGCTTAAGCTTTCTTGCATTTTCTCCCCTCCCCCCAATCTCACAGCCCCCCCTGGTGACCTCTGCATCATGACCCACAGTTTGGGAACCCCTGCACCAGACCATCCTTCCTCTCTTCAAGTATATCAGTCTCATAAGTCATGCAATGTATTACTAAGATAATTACTGGTGTGCAGTAGCTAACCCCCAGACATTGGAGGAAGTATTTTCCATCATTACAACTGATCCGAACACAAAGCCAATCACAACAGAGTTCTATGTTTGCCAAGCCACCTCTTGGTTCAAAATATTACTATTTTCCCTTAGATCATAAAGCCTTTTGCACCTCCTCTTGCAGACAACCATACGTACTGCAACTGCACATCACCTGACCAGAGGCCAGAACAAGTCTTTTGAGAGATGCCAGAACCAAACTATGGACTGGGTGGCTGGAAACATGCAAGGAATAAAGTCCAACTAAACGGTGCTGAGAGTAAAGTAATTTAGGGGTTTTGGAACCCTAGTACCTTGAAGTCCAACCACCCTACACTCAGATTGAAGGAGCTGAGAAGTTAGCCTGCTGAGAGGGGAGTGAGAATTGGAGAAACTAGGGACATGCAGGAGTTATGAGTGGATGGAAATGTGAAATGAACCATAGCAGGGCTGGAACATAGGCTTCACTCCTCTCTGGTGGAAGGAAATCTGACACTGCTACTGGTGTTTGAATCAGGACAGAAAGGGGAAAAGAAAAAAAAAAGTAATTTAATTCAAAGGAACTCAAAATAGTTAACATGCAGACATTTAATAATCTTTATTAATGCTGATAATGTATTGTGAATGATATCAAGATCCCAAAATGCTTGCCATACTCTACACAAAATACATTTATCCAAACATCCTGCTTCATCATCAAAATGCAGCCACATCTGTGGCAGGAAGCCAGGATCTTTGAGCAACATATAACAGGGCAGAAGGGACGTATGCTTTATGAACTGAAAGTACAAATGAACGTTAGGTAGGTTAGAATGAATAATCACTCAATTTTAGCTGGGACCCTACGTCAACATCTTGGCTCTTGCAAAAAGTGCCAAAAATAATTAATAATCAGTATTTGAAAGATTGCACCTTCAGTAATACAGTGTTGGCAGCACTGTGACAGGGCACAGATTCAGAAGAGGACTACCTCTGAAAGAATCAAACTTGTAAGAATTTATCATCGAAATTTTAGGTAACTTGTCCAAAGATATTAAACAAAATAGAGAGAGAAATGTACTAAACACATATAAGCTATCTACCTCTACAAAGTACTATTTGTTTTAAGGCCTGGATGATAGGCGTGTCCAGAGTCTAGTAAAACAATGCAAGAGGAGGTCATTATGCTGCCGCATTGCCTACCAAGGTGACAACAAAGCTACCTCAATTTTCACAAATATTTACCCCCTAGTCCCCAAAAAAGCAAAATTGGGGAAAGCAGTTTGATAAGGGGTTCTATTTTACTTTTCCAAGGAGTTACTACTAATGAACTTTAACAATTTTAATGTTACTTTAAAGTAGACAAAATCCTTTGAAGCAATTGGTAAGCTTTTCCTTAAGGTTCAAATATAGTCCATAAAAGTTTGCATCTGCAGACATGGCAGGATCAGAATCATCACTCACAACACTCCCCTCTTCTTTCTTAATACCCTTAGCTGATTATATCTTAGTGTTGGGGGAAAAAATTCCCAACAAAATTTCTGGGAAGTCTAGATTGGAACTAGTTTAAGATATTCCCAGTACTTTGAAAGTATCTTTTTTTGTTTTCAGAGACATAAGATCAACCTTTTTGTTTGTTTATAAACAGAGCAATTCAAGTCTCAATCTATCATCCTGTAGCCTGACCATCAATGTTGTGCCTTTAAATTATCTTCTATTTTGGAAATTAAATCCCTTTGACTTCTTACCTTATCACTTGCTTTTTTTCCAGATTTCTTCTTTTTAGGATTATCCTTCCAGAGAGATTCTACAGCTACATATCCTTGCAAACTCCAGTCATACAACCTTGAACCAGTGACCTTTAAAACAAGAGGTTAGAAAATCAATCAGTTTAAGAACCATCTGAGAAGGGTTTATTCTTATTACAATTTAAATGGTTTCATAATCCACCAAGACCCTTAACTGGGACTGCTTTACAAAACATTCATGCTGCTCAAGTATGGAATGTACAGCTTCACTAAAAACAGACCATAAAAAGGATGACAACAAAAAATACCCATACAAATGATTTACTTTGATACAGTGTTTGGAACAAAGTATAAAGAGAGATGGATTTCAAAATAACCTTAAGCAGTTCTGAAATGTAAGCAATTTATGGGTTTTGAAACCCTAGTACACTGCATTCTATGCATTTCAGATTTTGAAATTTTAAAATAGATTTTAGTCTTTGTAATACCATCTTAGAAAGATTAGTAATATTTTCCCTATTGATTTTGCCACCATTTGACAATTTTATATTTCACAGCTTTGCTCCGACAATAGGAATCAACATAAGTAGCTCCCTTCTGATTACTTTTGTCTGTCCACCATCCCCACAAATGTCAGCAAGATTATGCATAGTTCTCTGAAAAGTATCCGTTAGTAAACTCCTAATGTACAAAGGAACCAGTCAAGCCCACAGTTTTGGCTATATCCCACCAAAATGGAGGTGCCCTGAGGCCCGCCCCCACTCAGCCTTCTCCCCCTGAAGCCCTGCCTATGACCCACCCCCTAAGGGGCCCTCCTACCACACCTCTCTCTGCCCCCACCCCCAAGAGCCCCCCTGCCCGCACCTCTCTGCCTCTCAGGGCGTGAGTAGCAGGGGCCATATGGAAACCAACAGAGAAACGGGAGTGAGGGTGGGATGGCCGTGGGGGAAAGGGGCAGAGAAACAAGAGCAGCAGGGGACCATGTGGGAAGAGCGAGATGCAGGAGCGGGGCCCTGAGGCAGAGCATGGGAGGGGCCATGGCCCGGGCACCCTTTTGGCGGTGGCGCTCCAAAGGCGGCAGGCTGGTGGCATGTCTCCAGAAGGAGGTGCGTCACATCCTGTTTGGGGAGGTTTAGCCTCCCCTGGCCTATTATACCCGCTGCCAGTCTTCAGCCAAAGGCTGAAAATGAAAAATGGCCTCATACTAGCCTTCTTTCAGATGGCAAAGAACAAAAGAAATGGACATTCTACTTGCCTAGACCCCCACTAAATACAATTTTCAGACTGGAAGCTCTTGAGGGCATAGACTGTATCTTATGATGTTTGTACAGCAGCTAGCACAATGGAGTCCCAGCAGTTACCCCAATCGAGTCCTGAACCTGACTGAGGCCTCTAGAGCAGTGTTTCTAAGCCAGGGGCATGCGTACCTCTGGGGGTACGCAGAGATCTTCCAAGGGGTACAGCAACTCAGCTAAATATTTGCCTAGTTTTATAACAGGCTACATAAAAAGCACTAGTGAAGTCAGTGCAAACTAAATTTTCATAGACAGCTTGTTTATACTGCTCTATATACTATACATTGAAATGTAAGTACAATATTTATATTCCAGTTGATTTATATTATATGATAAAAAGAGAAAGTAAGCAATTTTTCAGTAATAGCGTGTGGTAACATTTTTATGTCTGATTTTGTAAGCAAGTCATTTTTAAATAAGGTGAAACTTGGGGTATGCAAGACAAATCAGACTCCTGAAAGGGGTACAGCAGTCTGGAAAGGTTGGAGAGCCACTGCTCTAGACTATATTGTAAATTTTATGCACACACAACACACCACACTTTTGGAGGAGTGTGGATAACAAAATCCTGTGTGTGTTCCATCCAAACTGCAATGAGGAGCAACTTCTTCTCTGTGGAGTACATAAGAAAGACCAGTTCTCCTTTTCTGACTGCTGTCAGATCTGCCATTCAAATCCAAATAGTTAGGATTTTTAGATGCAGGTCAGATCAACAGCTTGTCTGCCTATCTACAAGTTTCTAATGAACCCACCACATATCCTTGAGAGAGAGAAAATAATGCACAACATACAGGAACCTTCCTCCTGCCTTAAAATCAAGTTGAATTTTCAAATGGTAAGAAGCAGCTGTAGCATTCCTCTCTCTCAGTCACCCTTTGCAGGATCCTTCTCAGACCTTCATTACAATCAGGGCCGGCTTTAGCAAGAGCAGGGCCTGTTCCTGGGGGCGGGGCTTGCCGCAAGCCCCGCCCCCAGGAATCGAGCCACGCTCCGGCCGGGGTCACCGGCCTCGGGTCCAGCCCAGAGCCGCTCGGCGGCCGGAGCCGAGCAGAGCTGCAGGGGCCGGGCTGGGGAGCCGGACCCATGCTGCTGGGGCCAGGCCGGACCGCGCCATGGGGGCCGTGCCGGACCCGAGCCGTGCCGCGGGGGCCGGGCTGGAGCCAAGCTGGGCCGGAGCCGCTGGGGCCGGCACGCTCGGCCGGAACCGAGGCCGGACTGGGCCGCGCCTCCCCGGAGCCCTTCTCGCGCCCCCCGCCACCCCAGCTTTCCTGGTGCTGCCTGCCTGCCCCTGCTTCTTTTCAGACTTCCCGCGAACCTCTGATTCGCGGGAAGCAGGGGAGGGGGAGGAACAGGGGGCAGAGCGTTCAGGGGAGGGAGGAGGGGGAAGTGAGCTGGGGGCGGGGTGGAGAGCTGTGGCACGGGGCCTTCTTAGCGCAGGGCCCAATTCAGCCTAATTGGCTGAATCGGCCTAAAGCCGGCCCTGATTACAATGCACCATTAACCTTTACTGTTTAAAGTAAGAGAAGGCTTCTCCATACAACGTACCCCACATCAGTGTGTAGTTAAAGATACACACCTTGTTACCATTTAGAATAGGAAAATGGACTAAAAAGAACCAATAACTGAGCCCAACAGGAAGTCATATCCATACACTGTACTTACAGACAATACAATTATTTTAAAACTAGATTCACATTGAATACAGAAAAGAATTGTGACAAATAAGTTTTCTAGTCAGACAACTAGATCTGAGATGCAGGCTGTCTTTGGACAAGTTGTCTTAAAAAAAAGAAACATACTTTGGCCACCATGTTAAACTAGTTTAAGTAGGTCAAATTTTAGATATAAACAAGTTGCTAGTTGGCATGCTGCATTGAGAGAAATAAGATTTTTATCTACATTTGATGGTGGTATCGGGAGTAATAAAAGAAAAAAAGCAAACACCCAGAGACCTGGCAATGAATGTGCTATACCTCTCCAAAATCCGCACAGGCACTGAAGGTATAAACCTTTGTATTCTTGTCAAGCTTTTGAAATGTTTTCTCCCAAATATTCAGACAAATTAGTAAATAAATAAAAAATAAAAATAAATTAATGGAGATATCCTATCTCCTAGAACTGGAAGGGACCTTGAAAGGTCATCAAGTCCAGCCCTCTGCCTTCACTAGCAGGCCCAAGTACTGATTTTGCCCCAGATCCCTAAGCGGCCCCCTCAAGGATTGAACTTTCAACCCTGGGTTTAGCAGGCCAATGCTCAAACCACTGAGCTATCCCTCCCCCATGCTTCAGAACAGTTTATACTTCATTAGCAAAAGATTCTGCTTCCTCTGAACATAGAATGCTGCAGTTATGTGGGGATCATCATCAGAAAGCTGCAAGAAGTGCAAACTTACCAGAGTAAAAATAAAAAATACTCCATTTATCTGTGGTGCCAGTATGAATACAGCTATCAAAACAAGATGAAGGAAAACCAACAACTGTCGGTAGGCAGCAGCTGCTTTTTCCTGGTTATAAAAATTCCTCCAGTACATGCTCTTTAATCTATACACAGCAAAGGGCAACACGATGCAAAAAAGTGTCAACTGTGATAAAGTACTGATTTAATCTCTTATTTTGGGTCTTTGCATTGTTTTTAAGACTGAAGATTTTCAAGCTGCATATGGGCTCAGTCCTGCATTTGTTACAAACCTAAATATCCCAGAGTTCACTATATTTGAGTTAATGGAAATTCAATGGAGTTATGAATTATGGAGGACTGCAGAACTGGGCCTTATTTTCACATTTTGAAATTTTTTTTTGTGAGTAAGAAAACTGGGAAAATTTCTATCAGAGAAAAGCACTTACAGCATAAACAAAAACTGCAAGCAACAAACTGAGGCCTTCAGATAGACAAAACAAAATGTTTCCAAAGCACAGACTACCCATTTAAATTAGAATGTCCATCCCTTGTCTATATGCTTATAGCTCCACGGGTATGTAATTTCTTAAGTGTTAGGTACAGTCCTGTAGATTTAACATTACTGTTTTTTCAAAAAATATTAGCTCTGATGGAGCTATGTTCAAGAGCTTTGCCACATTCCAGTTTCTCTCCTTTTACTTGCTGGAATTGTCACGGCAAGTAAAAGGGAGGAATACAAAATCTCAAACTTTCAACGGAGAGCTTTCAGAAGACAACAGTTTCTCCAGGCCTTCAGAAAAGTATTTCAGTAACTCCAGATTTGGCTTAAACCGAAAGATGACAAAATATAGTTCCTTTTCATTAGCATGCCAAAATACTTCTTAACTTCCACTGAATTCAACATAAAAGAGCAAATATGTTTAACTCCACGGTAATATTTAAATAAACACTGAAAAGTCAGACTGGCAAGTTGTCAGGAGAGGTTCTGAAGAAACTTGAAAGTGGGCTGACGTTCTGCTTAGTGTTTCCCAAATATCTCTGGGCATAGTGCAATACAGTAGACCCAAAGAGTTGCAAACACCTCAAGAATGGAGGTTGTTTGTAACTCTGAAATGTTGGTAACTGAACAAAACGTTATGGTTGTTCTTTCAAAAGTTTAGAACTGAACGGTGACTTAATACAGCTTTGAAACTTTATTATGTAGAAGAAAAATGCGGCTTTCCTCCCCCCACCCCTTTTTTTAGTAGTTTACATTTAACACAGTACTGTACTTGCTGCTTGTGTGTGTCTCTCTCTCTGCTGCTGCTGCCGGATCGTGTACATCCGGTTCCAAATGAGGTGTGTGGTTGATGGGTCAGTTCGTAACTCTGGTGCTTGTAACTCTGAGGTTCTACTGTAGCCCCAAGCACATAAACAAC